ATTCAGCCTGTTATGTAGGATTCTACCTGAACCTTTGAATCTTGAGTTCTTTAGTGGTTTAGAGGTTTAAATAAATTTCTTTAGTAGCTTTGAAAGAGTCGGTGCCTGAGGGAATTCCCTCAGGCTTCTGCTCTTGAGGCCTAGCTGCTGCTGGCTGAGTGGCAGCTTCTGAATAGGATAGTGTAGCTTAAAAGGCAGCAATTAAAAAAGAAAAGCAGCTTGAGAATTACTTTTAGTGTTATCCACTAATATTCTAGTTTGTCTCTTTCTGGGAATACGGTAAGGTTCACCTGTCCTTTATTACTAAATGTAACTGATTTGACTTTTTACATCTATGGTTTAGATTTGCTGTTAATGTTGTTACATTGCTGGCTGATCAAGGTAGCGCCTTGTTTATGCTAAGCAAGCACTCCACAGTGAATAACATTCAAGCTTTATTATTTATTATTATTATCATTGCTGTTGTTTTAATGAAAGGTCTCACTATGTTGCCTAGGCTGGGCTTCCCATGGATACATGATTCCACAGTCTCAGATTCCTTGGTTCCTGGGATTATCGGGCCTGGCTTGTGGAAAAGATAATAACACATTTATTGAGATGTAAAATAGCAGACATAAAATGTATTCAGAAGCCATGTGAATGAATTTCACCCAGGATTTTCTGGGACAAATAGTAGTCAAGATACCTTTGAAGAAGTTTCTATAGCTGCTTTTGTTTCCTGTTCAGAACTGCTATTGAGTCAAGAATCATTGATTCAGAATTAGAGCAGACACCAACTTTTTTTTTAGAGACAGGGTTTCTCTGTGTCGCTTTGTAGACAAGGCTGGCCTTGAACTCACAGAGATCTGCCTATCTCTGCCTCCCAAGTGCTGGGATTAAAGGCATGCACCACCACTGTCCGGCCTCATTGAATTTCTTTTATTTCTCTATTTGTTTGCTACAGTGTAGGTATGATTGACAAAAATTATGAATATTATCATATATAATGTGATATTTTCATATACATTATGAAACAATTATGTGGTGATGTTTTGTTTATGATCTAGCAAATAAAATTCCTTTAGATATGTTTTAGACAATCAGTGGGATTGTCAGTATTGCTAAAATTTCTTCCTGGGGGAACATAAGCAATGTCTTTCCCTTCTTCTAAAACTAAGTTCCCAATGACAAAGTGAGGAATAATTCACCAGAGTTTACTCTGGGGAACCAGTGAGTTCACTGGGCTTCCTTACAGCATACAGGCGAAGGGTTATTTGCAGGTTGTGGGTGCTTCTCCAGGCTGCACCTGGAAGGCCTTTACCCAGCAGGGAAGTGAGTTTCCCCATAGCCACATAGATCTAGCCCCCCTTCCCTCATCTTCCCTGACTTACATACTAGCCCCTTCCCAACGTCATGTGCAAATAAGGTAGAGTTGCACATTAACAGGTGGTAGGGATCGTCTCAGTCCTGAGGTGAGAGTCTCATGACGCTCCTGACATGAGAGGATGTACGCTTGTGGAGTTAGGATAATTGTTTTGTAAGGGGGCTCTGCTGAACTCACCAAGATGGTGGTTTCTTGGATGAGAGAATAGTCACTAATAAAACTGGATCACATTTAGTGTCTATTTTGGTTTTTATAATGGTTGCACCAACATACTCACTCTCACCCACTGTATAAGACTCCTAACCACTTGTTATTTTAGTCAGAGTTGACTAAAGTAACAGAATTTAAGAACGAATCTTTATATGTAATGTATATAGAGGAAGGGGATTTATTATAAGGACTTTCAGCTAATCTAACAATGGCTGGCTGTGAATGGAAAAGTCAAGGATCCAGTAGTTGCTCATTCCACAAGGCTGCATGTCTCGGCTTGTCTTCGGTGTATGTTGGAATGCCAAAGAATTAGGCTCTCATATCAGTGAAAGAATGGACTTTCTAGCCAGCAAGAGGAAGCAGGCACAGAGCAAAAGCTTCCTTCTTCCCTGTCTGCACTTGGGTCCCAGCAGGAAAGAACCACAGTAGAGGTGTGTCCTTCCATATCAAAAGATCTGGATTCAAGGTGTGTCACCTTACCTCAAAGATCCACATCAGAAGTTGATCTTCCCATTTCAAATTAAGCAAAAATCCCTCACTGCTGATTCAGGTCTGGTTGGGGCCAGCATTTCCTGGTTGATTGTGTCCTAGTTTTGTTTTGGTAGCTTTAGATGTTACGTTTAAGTCTTTGATCTACTCCGACTTGAATTTTTTTTTTATTACGTGGTAGTTTTATGTGTAATTTCCCCAAGATAATTTACTGAAGACTACTTTCAGCATTTTTTATTCTTGAAAACTATCAATGATCACTTAACTGGGAAGGTGAGATGGCTCAGGGGGTTCAATACTTGTTATGCAAGTCCAATGACCTGAGTTCAATATCCAGAAGGAAGAGGGATGAAACAACTCCACCAAGTTGTTCTCTGACACACTCTCCTCACCTTTGCTCTTCCTACCCTAACTAATGAATAAACACAAAAATAAAATTCTATAAAATTTAACAAAAAGGGCTCTGATGAAACACCATGGGTATAAGCAACTTGGGGAAAGAAAGTGTTAATTTGCCTCACATTTCTCCATCACAGTTCATCAAAGGAAGTCAGAACATAAACTCTAACAGGGTAGGAACCTAGAGGCAGAAGCTGATGCCAGGGCCAGAAAGGATTGTTCTTTATTGGCCAGCTTCCTTACAGCGCTCAAGACCACCAGCCCAGGGGTGGCATCACCCACAGGAAGCTGTGCACTCATCAATGAGGAAAAAACCACCACTAACTACAAAAAGACAGACATTACAAGACTACGTTAACTCCCTCACTGATGTAACCCTCCTCCCCCAACACTGATGCAATTGTGGGTTTTAGCTGTAAAAACACTGTGTCCCTGAGCTCTGGCACCAAATGAGATTTTGAAGGAATTACCCTACTCTTGGTCTCACCATTATTAAAGGACTCATACTCTTAACGTCTTAATTAGCATGGCTGCTGGTAATTGTCCCCCATGGATTGTTTCATAAATCAAGACATTCCCACAAGGAAAGAGTGGGAGGCTCTTGAGACTTGGGAATTGAATGAACTTCACATGGATGAGAAGACTGAAACTTAGACCATGTATGAGGACCTGTTCCCAAGGTATGGGATGAATAAGCAGATGCTGGCAGAGGAGATGAATCAATCAGTCTAGCTACCAAGAGGAGATGAATCAATCAGCCTAGCTACCAAGACGATATGCTCTCACCTCCTGTCTCCCTGCCTAGAGGTCATGCAGAGAGCTCTGGGGTTTTTGTTTTACGACCTGTCACTTATGTTGGGGTGGGCTTTGTTGATAAAGCTATTTTGAGTCATCTCTGGTTCTGTAAGTAACCCCAATAGAAGCTCATTGGCTCATTGGGGGTGGGGATTCACCGCAGCCTTGCTCACAGAACAGTCTGGTGAGGGCATTTTCTCAACTGAGGTTCCCTCCTCTAAAATACCTCTACTTTATATCAAATTGACATAAAAACAACCAGTACAGTATGGCTCTGGGTTACTATCCCATCCATCTCTTGCTATACCATTGTCATGCTGCTTACCCTATTGATGTAGTATACTTTGACATGTTGCTCTTCTCTTGATTGTCTTTGGTTTTTGAGAACTTGATTGCCAAGATAAAGGCATTTCTACGTTTAACATGAGCAGGATTCATGAACCTGCATACTGATTTTTTCGCTTTTGATATGATAAAGTTCTGACATTATTTCTCAAACAACTGTTCACCTTTCCAGAGAGGAAAAACCAATATCCAGATGCAAGAGCCCTGACTACACTACATGCAAAGATCCAAAGCAAGGAGAGGGTAAGAGTCTGTTGTTGTTTCTTAAGAGCAGAAAATTCCTTAGGCCTTTTCTTTCCATAAGTTGTAAGCTTAACTGGATGGGGTTTTGCTCTAAGGGTACCCCTCCATTTAGCCCAGTGCAGGTCACTCTTAAACAGATTACCCTCCCCCACACATAGTGAACTAATATTCCCATTTCAAACAATATAATCAAAACAGTCTTTCACAGACATGCCTAAAGGCCAACCTTATCTAGACAATCCTTCATTTAAATGTTCATCCCAGGTGATTCTAGACTGTGTCTAGAATATAATTAACATGATTACAGCTTCTTTTTGTTAAACTGTACACTTCTATTTCATTGTATGTTTTCAGATTTTTTTCTTAAGTTGTCTATGCTTACCTGTAGAATTTTTTAACTTTTTTTTGTTTGTTTTTTTGGGACAGGGTTTATCTGTATTGTTGGAGGCTGTCCTGGAACTCACTCTGTAGACCAAGCTGGCCTGGAACTCACAGAGATCTGCCTGCCCCTGCCTCCTGAGTGCTGGGATTAAAGGTGTGCACCACCAACACGTGGCTTTGAACTTATTTCAGACAATTATTTGGAATTCTTTTCAAGGTACATTTTATACGTAGGCTTTTTGAGGGTCAGCTATAGGTGATTATTCTGAAACATTGTGGAATGTGTTTCTGATTATTCATGATTTTCAAAGTCTTATGTTGGTGTCTACACATCTGAAAACGTAGCTACCTCTTCAAATATTTCTAGACTGTTTCAGCATGGAAAGTCCTTTACTAGTCTGACCACAGCCTGCGAGTTTATCTGATAACAACCTCAGAAGGTCTGTTCCATAGGGTCATCCTGGTGTCACTATCAACACACTTATAGATGGTAAAATTCAGTGAATTTTTACATATTCACATAGTAAAAATTATCATTAACTTCAAAACAAAAGAAACTCTATACCTACAAACAGTGATGACATTTAAGCACTGGAGTGATGTGCTCAATGTCTTGGTAAGTTCCCTTTGACCTAGTAGTCCTCAGTTTAACACGTTACCCCCCCCACCCCCTTGACATGATGTATAGTGCCATTTCAGGAACTAAGCATCATCGCTCTACATTTCTGAGGATGAAACCACAATCAGTCACTGATGACCAAAGAGGACACGTGGGTGGCCAAGAAAGAAACTTTATTGTTTTAAGTCACTAAGATTTGGGGATAATTTGCACAGAGAATAATGTAGCCTGATATGACTCATAACACATTACAAAAATCTGATGAGAAATTACTTAGGAAAGGAAAACTTAATTTTAGCTGTTCAGAATCTGTAATTCAGAAATGAATCTGAATGCTAACTGGCCTCCTTAAATAGAACAAGTTAAATAGGCCAATGTCAAGTCAGATGATCTCTAAAAGAAACAGAAGAAAGTGACTTCACTGAGATGACAAATGACAGGACCACTTTATCTACCATGTAGGCATTGTAGTAGAATCCCTTCATGAACTCAGCTCCACTGAGGAGAGCAGAGGAGGCACAATCACACCTCTTCTTTCTCTGTTTTTCTTTTTACAGTTTCTTTCTAGAATTCTATTTGCAATTTCTTTGGTCTCTATTATGAGGTCAGAGGATTAATTCTTTCCCTGATAGTCTCTTGCCTTTTAGCTACAGTATATCCTGCTGATACAGCAGATCCAAGTGTGGTTCCCAATTCTCCCAGTGGTTGGCTCACAACCATCTGTAATGTCAACTTCAGAATATCCACCACCTTCTTCTAGCCTTTACAGGCACTGTACTTGCACACACAGAGTCACAGTCAGAAACACACACACGCACACACACACACGTTAAAAAGTTCCAATGTCACAGAAAAAAAGGTTCATATTATCGTTCACTCAACATTTACTAACTAAATCATAAGTCATTTAAATTTATTTTAAGGTGAAATATTACTGAAAAAATTTAGAACAGAAAATGCAGTACCAATATTAGAAGAAGGCTTGAGAATTTTCTACTTGAATTTATTTCCAAAGCAGCAACTGGATTTTGTCTATTCCCTGAAAGATTCCTGAATTCTCTGCATTGTATACTTCTGCTATGTATATTAGTTTTGTTTTCTAATGTGTCACAACTTTACATAGGTTTTAAAATAAGCCTTCAGAATTTAGCTAATAATACTGTATTAAGATATTTCTTCTCTACAACATATTTTAATAAAGTGCTTACAATCTAGGAATATATACATTCTAAGCAAGCATTTGAAATTAGTTTTGGTATTTACTAACTTAAGTACTCAAGGACTTGATTTGAAGAATCCAGGAGACTGAAAGTCTGTTTCTCAAGAGAACTCTGATCCTCTACCAATGCGGAGATTTTGGAATTTCTATAATCCAAGAGTCCATGATCCTTGCCTGATGCCAATAATTCATTATCAGCCACACCAATAGTTGCATCTTCTACCAGAATATTTGCCTGGTATGCTCCAACTGGGATTTCAGGTAATCCGATGTAGTCGTGATCTGCTACCACTGAACCTTGCAAGAGATACAGACTGTCTGAAAGAGAGACATCAATGTTTCATCTTAGAATTGAAGGCAAACATCATTTCAAAGTTAAACACTGAGGAATGAAACTCAAAGCAATAAATATTAGTTACGAATATTAACTTCTAAAAAGTTCTCTTATTAAACTGGGCATGGTAGCACACATCTTTAATCCCAGCACTTGGGAGGCAGAGGCAGGCAGAACTCTCAGTTTGGGCTACACAGAGAAACTCTGTCTCATAAAAACAAAACAAAACAAAACAAAAAAAAACCCAAACCAAACCTCTTATCCATTAAACAAACACAAAGGTAAACAAAACTATGTGTGTGCACATAATTATACATTTATAAAAGAATGTAAAAAGAATCAAAGATGCTGAAACAATGCTTCCTATTTCCTTCAGTGGTCCTTGGTGGACATTATCTATATAGGACAAAAAGCAGGTGTGTGAAACAAAATCACAGAAGATACTGATATCCTTACTATGCATCTACAAAGCATCTCTGTGTGAATTAATAAGGATCTTTTAGCCAACTGAATTGCTAAACTCTTATATTTCTAATATCAGATACCCTCCTATTTGTATAGAATTCACAGTAATGCAATTATATCAATGAGTTATAATATAAAGCCACCAACTAGATGAATATAGAGTAGCCAAAATCAGATTCATGTGACAGGAATGTGTAGGGAGGCAAGCTCAAATGAAGCAGCAAAACTTTTATTAAAGTTCAATCTGATAGCAGAAACCACAGGAATGTTCAAGATCTACCTAATCTACATTCTACAGAGAACCTTTCCTTATCAGTATTTTGTTGTACTTTAGCAAACTTCATCATTAACTCCCTAGAAAACAGGTTTAAAATAACTTGTTAAATTAATAACAAAACAGCAGTCTCCTTCAATATAAAGAATACAATAAAAAAATTCTTCCAGTCTGATACTCTAATTCATTACAAAAAGAAACTCATCCGCCATAGCTGATTAATGTCATCCTGCATTCTCTTTCTGGATCTTTTCCCAAACATTAACAGATTCTCTTGAAAATTTTAATCCTTTATAGAAACCTCCAATCTAAGTGTAAGAAGACTACTTGTCCGTTTAGATCAGAGATCAGTGGGTATTATGTTTGGGAAAATGAACCCTCTCTAGTAAGTTCAAATGTTTAAAAACTTAAAATGTATAAACTTTAGTAGCTCTTAGGAATCCACACTATAAACAGCTGGCATAAAGGGGCTTGTGTGGGAGTTTCCGTAAACACTATGACCAGCAGAGAAATGATCCAAGAGAAGCAAGAAGGAAATCTGGTTCAGCACGACTTAGCCTGGCTGATTTAAACTTCTAGATTCTGACACCAGGCAGTTTATTGTAGCCATTCTTAAGCACAGCACATGTTTAGAAAGGAGTTTCCTGATAATTAACTCAATCCCATGTGTACAACAAAGCATAAGACATGTTTACATTGAAACTCTTTACAAAGTAGATATGGTTTCCTATATAAAGATGGGTACTATAGACTCAGAAACAATCCTTAAGATCAGGGTCTAGGGAGAATCACTGAGGTAAACAAAATAGCCTGTAGTAGTCAGGATTGGTCTGGCACTAAGACAAACTAGGTACCTAGGCTATTGCAAAGTGTGAGTGACATCTCTCAGAAAAATGAGTTTTATTGACTGATAGGCAATGCTCAAGATGTAAGGGGAAAAATGTCTGGGATAAAAAGACATAATAGTCAGGTGGATTAGGGGGAGGCCTGGTCCACCGATAGCAAAACATCACCAGGTAATACACCACACCCATTTCCAGCATTCTGGGTGGAATACAGGGAAACAACTCCTTCCTTTGAAGAGACAAGCCTGAGTGTTGAACTCTTCTGTCTTCCTTAGTGCTTATCTATGTGCACAAGGACTTCACACCCTGTTCAGGCTTGGGCTTGCACAGTCATTTAGTTTATTACTATGCAAAGTATGCTTGGGCCTAAGTGTGGAGAGGTTGTCCAACTCACACTTCACAAATTTTTATGAAAGAGTGTGTGGTGATCAGGCTGAAAATAAAGTTCAGAAGATAAAATTATTTATGGGGGAATTAAAAGTACACAGAATTGCAAGGGGCAAGAAAATGATGGGCTGTATGCTAGTGTGGGAGAATTGTACAAAAGGAACAAATCTGAAGGACAACTACAAATCATTCAATTAATGAGAACTGCTTTTGACTAAAAGCACCAGAAAATGGGAGAGGGGTCAATGAATTTGAAAGAAAGATTATTATTAGAAAAGTATTATGGCAGCTTGCTTATTAGCTTATGCTTAATACAAAGGCCAGATAGTTCATATGCCCAATTAAAAGGCTAGGTATGATAGAAAGTATTGTTGAATGTAGGATCAATGCCTATATGTTAAATGACATCATCACTGAAGGGAGACACCATAGCACCTAGGTATGCTAGATGAGGTCATTACTGATGGTGGATATCATAGTTCTAGGGTATGTTAGACAGGTCATCCATCACTGACAGCAGACACCACAGCACCTGAGGTATGTTAGACTAGGTAGAGCTAATGGCAAACACCATAGCACTTAGGGTATGTTAGATGAGGTCATTACTGATGGCGGACATCACAGCGCCTACAGTATGTTAGATGATGTCATCATTGACAGCAGACACCACAGCACCTAGTGGTATGGTAGACAAGGTCTTAGCTATTGGCAGACACCACAGCACCTAGGGTGTGGTAGACAAGGTCATAGTTGAAGGCAGACACATAACATTTGGGGAATTTCTAAGGAGTTATTCAGAGTTGATGAAGGAGGTTTTCTATAATTTTTTTCCATATAGATGAGTAGGTGAATTTATTGTAACTCCAGACAAACAGCCAACCCCACACTACTGTAGTTTGGCTTAATTTAGAAAAATATGCTCAGTAAATACGTGTCAGTGAGGAAAATGTGTCTATATGTAGAGCTCTTAGAAGTTGATATCTTGAATATGTGTTCAGGAACTTTATGTTTAAGCTTGTTTCCATTGCTTGCACTTAGAAAAAGAGAAATCTCATCAGCATCATCTATTATTGAAAGGGAACATTATATATATATATATACACACACACATATATATACATACATATATGTGTATATGCATGTATGTACATATGTATTTCCATGAATGATGGCTTTTAAAGTATCTTATTATAACAAAACTATGCAGAATATGGATCATATTATATAAGAATTACCGTGAAAATGCCAATGACAGTTTATATATTATAAAAAATAAAAACCTCATTCATCTATGAGGACCAAGTATATTTCAATTCTAACTATAGTCTAACTGGACCCATTTCAAATGTAATTCAATTTCAAAAAATATAAGCAAAAGACAGAGTCTTTGGGACCTCCCAAGTATGAAGATCCAGTATGTTGAAAATATTGTTAGATAAAAGAGACACCATTTTCATCTTTTTCTATCTAAGATGTGCTAGTAGAAAGTTTAAAACTACATGTCATAGATTTTGTGATATGGACAATACTGATGTGGGTCTACAATAATCCTGAGGAAAGGATGCAGAAAAGGATATGCTAACATTCTTACTTCCAAGGCAGAGACAAATATCATGTTAAAGGAGTTTTCTACCAAGTTACATTACACAAAATAGAACGTAGTAAGTAGTTTTCTTTTACCATTCTATTGACTCAGTTGTGATTATGATGAAAATACATTTAACAAAGATAATCATTTCAACTTTCAAGAGCCTCAATGTCTTCACGTTTTTTGTTTTTGAAATGTAGACTACTTCTTCTTCTTTTTTTTTTTTTTTTTTTTTGGTCTTCTTGAGACAGGTTTCTTTGTAGCTTTAGAGGCCATCCTGCAATTTGCTCAGTAGACCCAGGCTGGTCTCAAACTCAGAGATCTGCCTGTCTCTGCCTCCAGAGTACTGGGATTAAAGGTGTGTACTACCACTGCCTGGCCATCTTTTTTTTTTTAATTTATTTAAATTAGAAATAAGCTTGCTTCACATGTCAATCCCAGTTCCCTCTCCCTCCTCTCCTCCCTGCCACCCATCCAATCCCCACTTCCCTTCCTACAGAGGGTGAGGCCTTCATGGGGGATCTCCAAAGTCTGTTATATCATCCAGGGCAGGGCCTAGGCCCTCCCCCACGTGTCCAGGCTGAGAGAGCATCGCTCCATGTGGAATGGGCTCCCAAAGTTCATTTGGATGCCAGGGATAAATGCTGAACTAGTACCCGAGGCCCAAAAGATTGCCGAGGCCTCCTCACTGACACCCACATTCAGGAGGTCTGGTTCAGCCCCATGTTGGCCTCTTAGCCATCAGTCTGGGGTCCATGAGCCTCCCCCTTGTTCAGGTCAGCTGTTTCTGTGGGTTCCACCTGCTGCCTGGCCATCTTATGTGGTTTTTAAGGAATAAATCACTTAAGATTAGGAAATAGATATTTAAATTTTTAAGAAGGAACCTTCATTTAAAGATCACAAAATTTGAAAATTTTGGTTAATTAGGTTTCTCATTACATAGTTTTCTTAATCTTATGTGATTAGTCAAAAATTGTCTGATAATTTTCAAACTTTTATACTATATTGCCCTAATATATCCTTTCCATGATAAAACAACTATAATTTGATACTATATTATTATTGTTATAATATTAATAGTAGCTAGCAGTAATGAACTGGATGGCATCTGGGTCTGAAGAATACGAAGCTACAAGGAAACTACATTACCAATAATGCGGAGATTATGGGTGTAGTGTCATAAGGCACTATGACATTCTGACACGTTGATTATTGAGACGGTTAACTGTCATCAGCACAGTAATAGCCTCCCACGGTATATACCCATTAATCTCCGCAGCTAGTGAATACGTTGCTTTACATAGCACAAAGGAATTTGGGTAGTTACGAAATCAAAGTTGCCAATCATCTGATCTTGAAATCAGTGAGATTATTTGAAATTATTTGGGTGGGTCGAAGGAAGAAGGTCCTCAAGTGGAGAAGAGGGAGACAAGAGGAGTGTGAGAACAGAAGAGAAAAGACTGTAAGCCAAGGACTGCAGGAGGCATCAAGAACAGCAGCTCTCATGCTGTGGGTCGAAACCCCTTTGGGGGCTGAACAACACTTTCACAGGAGTCACATATCAGGTATCAGAGCATCAGATATTTGCACTAGAATTCATAGCAGTAGCAAAATTACAGTTATGAAGTAGCAATGAAAATAATTTTATGACTGGGGCCACTACAACATAAGGAACTGTATTAAAGGGTGGCAGCCTTACAAAGGTTGAGAATCACTGCTCTAGAAGCTAGAAAGAACAAGTAAATTTGTTCTCTTCTCTTAGATATTCTAGAAACTTGACTCTGCCAATGCCTTAATTTCAGCCCGATAACATCCAAGTAGATATTCTAAATATGTGTTGTTTGAAGTACTAAATCTGTTGCAAACTGTTAGGGCAGCAATATGAAACTCGCATAATGAAAATTATTTCATAAGTGTGTTCTTAATCATGAAGGAAAGAATGAGACTAAAACTTTAGTGAGGTAGACGCAAATGTATTATCAATAAAGCAAATAAGTTAAAAACAAGACTGTGTTGCATGGAACAGTAGGTCAACAACACAATTTTCCTTTTAAAAGAGATGATTACAAGGGGACACTAGTATATTTTTAAAAATTCTTATCAAAAAAAGGTACGTAAAAGTGCTCAGCATCAAGTTAGACCAAAAACCAAACAGGCCTGCTGGAAATAGCAACGACAAATATTGTTAACCTAGTACAGAATGTGTTAGCTCAGTGTTAGGTTCCAGATAAGCACAGACAGGAACTTGGCAATATAAGTCCACTTGTTTTAGACCGTGACTCTTTAGCACAGTCAAGAAATCAACAGTAGTAAAGAATAATATGACAGACAGAAACAGACACTTAAACTCCTTTTGGATATTGGATATTTAAATTCGTGTCAAATACAAATGTTTAGTGGTTAAAGAGACTGTTTTCATTAAATTCACTTCAAGGACCCCTCAAGGTCAGCTGGTGAGTGAAAAGTTTCTAGAAATATGCCCAATGCTGAGGAAAAGGATGGAATAAGCCACATTTATCTTGTATTTCTGCCAATGAAACACCACACACACACACACAGGATCAAATATTATTGAAGCACTAGTTTGTGCCATGGTTGATAAATCAATCCACTTATCAACTTCAAATGTCTATGCTCACACCACTACTAACACTGCGATTTTCTTACCCTGCTACATTGCTTCCGTTTAGACACTTGTGTTCTCAGCTTGCTTCTGAAAGACTAGGAAGGAAAATAATTGACTTCCTTTCTGAATGTCTTTGATAAGAGAAAACTGAAGAATGCCGAACAAGATCCTGCCTGGCACAGCACCATTTTACATGCAAATTTTGTGTGAATGAATGAATGAATACCAACCCATGAGAAGGAAACACATTCTGAATGCAAAGGAAATCTTGGCGGGACTAAAGAACTCAAACAATCCCTCTGTCCCTACTTAGCTAGTAGAAGGGAGAGTCTATAAACGGCTCTGAAGTGGGAAGACACACAAGAATGAATGTACTGTCCTCCTACAGGGAGGGTGAAGTTAACCATGTTTTCAGAGTGAGAACAGTCCGAGGTAAGGTTGGGACAAGAGCAACTGGTTCCATCACAAGAAAGAAGAGTGCCGAGAGCTCTTAAGAGAAGAGCTGGGGTGCAGACCAAAAGTGAGTAAGAACTACTGTACTGAGAGTCTCATAAGGCTTCGTATCACAACAAAGGAACAGCATGGGCTACGGCTTACTGCTTGTTACTTACTTGTATCTACTAAGTAACTGACCTTGCTCGATGGACTCTCTCACATAAGGCCTGAGGTGGGACATTTTGATAGGTCTTTTAAGTCTGGTCCCAGTATTGTCTCTCAGGACAGCACATCCGCTTTCTGTAATATAGTCTATGACACAAGGACCAACCCATTCAGACTGGAAACGACCATCTTTCCACCAGTTTTTCCTTTGTCTTAAAACTTCATGACCCACTTTTAAATGAAATGGATTTAACTGCTTTGGTTTCTTTTTAACAGTCTTGGCTTTGTTTGATTCTTCCGAATTGTCGTTCTCCATCTGTAAATGAAAAAAAATTATGACAGGAGTCAAATTTAAATGTAAAAACTGATAAGATTATGGCAGTATTTACTACTACTAAAATAAAGGACTGAATCCTAATTAGTCCTGCATTTAAAGTCAGCATCAATACTCTCTCCTTACATAGACAGTAAAATAAAGCAGAGCTGAGACCAGGCAGTGGTGGTACACACCTTTAATCCCAGCACTTGGGAGGCAGAGGCAGGCGGATCTCTATGAATTCAAGGTCAACCTGGTCTACAAAGCGAGTTCCAGGACAGACTCCAAAGCTACCCAGAAAAACCCTATCTCAAAACAAACAAACAAACAAAATAAAACAACAACAACAACAAAAAACCAAACAAAAATAACAAAAAGAAAAAAAAAGCAGAGCTAAGTGGTTCTGGGTACTTGCATTAGTTTCAAGTACTGCTAACAAGAATGCAGATTAGAAGCCAGGTCTACCCAATCCTCCCCAAGTCACAGCTTCCCCATCAGTCCCTTAGAAAGTCACAGCTTATAAGTAGACAATTGAGGGATGGGGAACATGTTCAGTGGCAAATGCCTGCCTGACACACACTCCTGAGGACCTGAGCTCAGATCCCCGTACCTACTGGACACTGTTACCCCAGCAATCGAGGGCAAGGGGTGAGCCTGGCAATCCAGGTGTACTCCAGTTTCAGTGAGGGACCATGGTTCAAAAACTAAGGTTGAGAGTGAGGAAGACAGTGGATGTCTATTACCAGCCCCCACACACATGTACATATGCACCTACATACATACATACATACTCTACATAAAACACATATACACAAAAACAGTAAACAAGCATATTACTTAACCAAAAATAAGCAGAACTTGATAGATAAAACCTTTTTACTTTTTCAGTTTTTTTTTGCTTAAGGGTGTATCATGCTCACATATGTGAACATGCCCACGTGCTGAGATTTTAAACATAATGCCTCCTTTGCAGAGCTTCACGGAGCTCTTCTAGGAGACAGAATTACCTGGGCGGCTGATGGTGTCTTGTTCTCCAACACTGCATCAGCCTCTCTAATGGCAGCTATGATTCTGGCAAACACGCTTGTATTTTCCCCACCCACGTCATGAGGACACTCTACCACACAAGGATTCCGGTTGAACATTTGGAAATACGGTGTGTTTTTACTCGGCTCTGAGTGAGTCACGTTGAAGGCAAAGGAAAGTGCTGGTAGATGCTCATCCCAGGTGTTGGGGTGGTCGGCGCAGTATCTGGAGAGAAAGGCTTTGATTGTGCCAGGTGTACTTTCAGATGGACTGACACTTCCGGAAGCATGAGAAATTACCATCTGTGTTGTACCAAACAACCTATACAGTTCTGTATTTATCTGAAAAATATGGAAAACAGAAAGTTCATATTTTTTCCTCTGGCTTAAAAAAAAGATTCAAGAAACCCATGTCTCATCTTCCATTGACTATAGGCATTCAGATAAAGTATGTCGGCATTTTGGGTAAAATTCTACTGACTGGGTCCTTACTAAGTGCTGGTCATCATGTTAAATGTGATTTTTGTCACTGCACGTCATGGTGACTTTATGATATATTATTAACTCCATTTTAAAGACAAAAGCTTAAGTTTTGGGAGTCTAAGCACCTAATATACGCACACAACAAGGAAATGGAAGGACAGAGTTCAAGACTAAACTTGTAGTCAAGTAACTTTTTAATTCAGTAGACTGTTTTGTTCAAGGAACCACTAGGTCACATGACACAGTCTCCTCTTATAAGCTAAGAAAAATGCTACCCCACAGCTGCCTAGGTGCATATACAAAGTAATGCTTGTAAAAAATCAAACACCCCTCAGCATGAGTAAGGAATCTGTAGGATTTAACTGCAACTACTCCTGCTGTTGTAATGATCATTTTGTGGTCAGGATTTCAAAGATTTCAGGATGAGTTTATTTTCCTACTTTGATGTTCTTGTATTTTCTGTTATTTTAATTAATTTACCCTCAGTTGACATTATCTTTGAAAGACTATTTTCTACAAATAACTGTCAGATTAGAAGGAAAAGGTAACACACACACACACACACACACTTCCCAAGTTCCCTAGAAAGTAGAAGTGGTCATGAGAGGCGTAGCAGAAAAAGAGGAGAGTTAAAATTTATGTGCAAACTCAGCCGGCCCTAGCGTTATTCTGCCCACTGTCCTCCCTTGTTAACTATATTAAAAATGTTATCACATGGCTCCACCAGCCACACTGGCAGCGCCGGACAGATGCTACACTCCAGGGACGGGAAGACAGAATCTGGGAGCTTGAGTTCCCACTGATGCTCACAGCTTTCCTTCCAACCTTACGCAGTTTATGCCTCGTTTACCTGACTACAGAGTAAGTTTCTATTCCATTTTGGTTTTAGGAAAGGGAGCAGGGTTCTCTGTTGCTTGCACCTGAACATGACCCCTCACCCACTCTTATGTGGAGACTATGCGATACTTAAGTCGTGTGACCACTCTATAACGAGTAGCTTGGTAAAATTTAGGTTTTGCCTTCATTAATTAATTAGCGGCTGAAATGAAAGAATGAGTGACGAATCTACTTCTATACGCTGTTTCCACTTTGTTCTCACTGCACTGCACTTATGTATGACTACTGAATGATGCAGTTATTACCAACCTGGAGCATAAATAAAGCACTTCAGTTTTATACCTATTATCACAGTTGCCTATACAAATATATAATATGTACATAGAAAACTATTCCTTACATTTTTAACATGACACAAATGTTATATAATTATCTCACTCTAGTTAATATCATTTTATTACATTTTTATTTTTGGTTGTTCTTTTCTTTATAATAATTTTTTATTTAACTTTTTACACATGTTATTCCCAGTTCCCTCTCACTCCCCTCCTCCCCGTGGCCCCCCAATCCTCCCAAGCCCCCACCCCACTCCATCTCCCCTCCACTCCCCAGGGAGGGTAAGGCCTCCCATGAGGAATTTTCAGAGTCTGTTATATGACCCTGGGCAGGGCCTAGGTCCTCCCCCATGTGTCCAGGCTGAGAAAGCATCCCTCCATGTGGAATGGGCTCCCAGAGTCCATCTGTATGCCAGGAATAAATACTCTCCAAGGTCCCACAGATTGCCGATGGCTCAGTTGTTAAAGGCTAAGCTCACAACCAAAAGTATTTTTGGTTGTTCTTAAGCTAGAAGTAAACAAATATTTGGTTCAATCATCTCAGTTTGAAGACATCAAAAGATAGATTTACAATGACTTCGTGGTAAAGCAATAATAAAAACCGTGCTCTCCTAATCGCTAGTTCAAGTCTAACAGTATATATTATATGCCTCCATATCTACAGCAACTTATATGAATGTATGAAATACCCATAAAAGTACAAAGAGCCATGTGCCAGCACTGAGAATGCTGCCTGCTCCCAAATGTGAGCACTCTGACCTACCTGTTCAATGAATTCATCTCTTTGGTCCATTACTATTTTCTGAGGAGGTCCATATAAGAAAAATACATTGATAATTGCTTTAGAAATTTCTGACGCTGAAACATCACATAAAGGCAAAATCATAACCCATTTTGTGAACAAATCAGTCACGATTATAGCATACACATGACTCCTGTCGCTTGCATGAAAGGGTCCCATCAGATCGACAGTCACTACACTCCACGGGCTTGTCACGGTGAGGAGGCGCTGCTCAGGTGCCACCAGCACTGTGCTCTTTACTCCTTGGCAATGCTGGCAAGCATACACCTACAGAGAGGTACAAGGGAAACACACAGGAGTGGGAAAGTGTCCACCGCCATCTGAAGCACTTTCACAATGCAGAATCCTAACTAGTCAACAGACACCATGTGTCTTAAAGGAAGTCGACTGGCTGAGAATAGCCCACTGAATGAAGTCTTTCAGTCAGAACGACAAGCAAACATCGGTCACTACACCTGTGTGGCCAGTAGGTCACACAGCTAGACCACAGGGATTCGTTATCAATCACTACCCCGAGAAAGGCAATCTCAGTGGGGTCTTCTTCTAATGGCACATAATTTGGGTTCACATTCAAATATATTTTAAGTCGACAGATTTAGAATAAGGTTTTTATTATTTTATTTTTAATAAACGATTCTACAGCTAGCTGTGCTCGCACATTTATGTAATCCTTGGATTTAGGGTGCTGAAGCCCAGAGGCTGCCATAGCGAGAGAGCCCGGGCAACACGGTAAATTCAAATCCAGCTGGGTTATTTAAGAACTCTATCAAAAAAAAAAAAAAAAAAAAAAAGAAAGAAAGAAAGAAGGAAGAACATAAAAAAAAAAATCTAATGGGCTACTGCAAAATATTCTATTTTCTATAGTTTTTAAGCCAGAACATGGCCATGCAATGAATTATATGTACAAATGACATTTCTTCCTACAATTTTTATTCCAAAGTTCTTTCATTCATCTATTTTGGTAATAATTGCTGACCTGTAACTATAATCAAACAATATCTGATGATGCCAGACACTTCCCTATGTCCTGGGGAAAATCCAGGTCTCATGAAGTTTTAAGGCAGTGTTTCTCAACCTGTAAGTCCTGACCCCTTGGGCAGGGGTCACATATCAGATTTCCTGCACATCAGATATTTATTTACATTATGATTCATAATAGTAGCACAGTTACAGGTATGAACTATAAATGAAATAATGTAAAAGGGTCGAAGCTTTAGAAAGGTTGAGAACCACTGGTAAGTGGTTTAAGAAGAGATCATTTGATGAATTTATAGATGGTGCTATTTTTAAAAACACTTTCAGATTTCACCTTGGAAATTATTTTCAAACCAAGTTCTAAAAAAATAATTAAAAACAAAAATAAAGACACAAGCCCTCATTATGATCAAAGTAATTCTTTTTTTTTTTTTTTTTTTCAGAGACAGGGTTTCTCTGTGGCTTTGGGGTTGTCCTGGAACTAGCTCTTGTAGGCCAGGCTGGTCTCGAACTCACAGAGATCTGCCTGCCTCTGCCTCCTGAGTGCTGGGATTAAAAGCATGCACCACCACCACCTGGCTCAAAGTAATTCTTTTTAATGATAATAGAGACATAGACAGAGTTTTAAGAAACAGAACAGCACTCCTGAAATGGGAGTGGCCTAGTGAGTTGGGAAATGTCTCATCTTAATTGTTCTTGATGATCATTCTCATTCAATGCATTCAACCAGCTATAAACACGTTTTAAAAATTGATATCTTTTCTCATATTATACCCACTGGCTATTCATTTCACTGAATGCTATAAAAGAATGCATTGAAACTTACAATTTGGGCTTAGGTTCCTGCCATTGAGATTTGACATTTTTCTATCTTCAGAATAGGCACAAAAGCTGAGAATCCACACGGGGATTGATTTATTATGAACATATTTATTTTGATCATATAAAAAGTCATTCATGATGGCACTAAGGATATAATAATTAGCAAAAGAATTTCAACCGCAATTGAATTTTGCCCGGAAAATGGAGCCCAATGTTCCAATTCTCAGTAATTTCCTATTAAACTATTGTATTTTCTTAGCTTAATTTATACTCTACTGATTTAAAAAATATAAAGAGAAATAAATTTTTCTTTAATTTAAATGTTTTCTTAGTACAATAACACATATTTACCCCATAGGTGACATGGACAGCACATTTTAAGCAATACTGACCTTTCATTTATTAGAAAGACAACAAAAAGATTTCTAAGCACACAAGTCATACCCACTGTTTGACATCATTGGTCACAGAGGTCCAGTAGTAACTGGACTCCACTAACGTGAGGGTTCTGGAGATGCCGTGATGAACTCCAGTGCCGTTTTCATGGCACTCCCTTAGGACTTTCTTCTTCTCCTCTTCTGAAACAACTACCAAACGACTTTGTTTTCTATCTTTTCCAACATAAAACAGCTTTTTTTCTGAAATGAATGACATAAAAAAACTGTAATTGTTCAAGCTCCATAGTATTTAGATCATTGTAGCCTTCTTTAATTTTATTTCTACAGAATATTCGCTTGCAATGCTATTGCCATGCACTCTGAAGACCCAGAAGGGTCCTTATCTGCTATAATTCCGTGGGGATCAGTGGAAATGGAGTAAACTTGTGATAACTGCGAATATGAAGTGACCTTTCAATGGGAGGACTTGAATTAGGGAAATACTTGTAGAAGCCATAAAAAACGGCTTAGGTTATAAAATGAAGTCTGTATAAGTGAAGAGCTTCTTTGGTGTTTTTAATTGTTGCTGCCTTTCAAGCTACACTATCCTATTCAGCAACTGCCACTCACTCCACGGCTACCGGCAGCGGCTAGGCTGCAAGAGCAGCTCTGCTCCCTCAGACGCCGACTCTATGAAAGCTACTAAGGAAACTTATTTAACCCTCTGTCCCACTAAAGAACTCAAGATTCAAAGGCTGAGGTGGAACCCTGCTTCCCAGAGAGGCTGAACAGCAAGCAGCTCACCTAGCGCACCTCCTCTGGTCTCCCAAGAAGTCCTCGTATGGTTTTTTCTCGCCCCTCCTTATAAACCCTTCTCCACCTGGTTCCTCCCTACAACTTCCTCTCAGCTAGCTGCTGACCCAGCCTCCTGACCGCAGGTGAACTTTATTTAATCAAACACATCTTTGCATCATTAAAAAATGTTCCAGAGCATAAACAAATGTGACACACTCTAAATTGATATTCTATGACACGTCTTGGTACAAAATGTTCTGAGAAACTCATTATAACTTTTTTGTGAGCCACCCCCTTCCTTTCCTTGTTTTGATTTGAGTAAAGGGGAGGGAGGGATGGCCCAGTGGCAGGAACACAGCTCTCAGTTCCCCTTTCCTTCCAGGGCACCTAAGCAGGGGAACAAGCAGGGAACAGGGAGAATCATTCTCTCTCCAGTTCATATGGGGTAGTTAAGCAGACTCCAGAATATACCATTAGGATGCCAAGGTGATTAATAAGCACAGAGGTATTCCCAATAGGCAACTGGAAAACTGAAACCCTATCTTATTCACTACTATATCCCAGGACCTAGAATGTGATTGCTACGTCACAGAGATTCAATAAACACTTTAACATGAATGAATGAATGAATGAATGCACTTCGACCTTAGTGTAAGGGGTCTGTCTATTGTTAAGAATAGGAGTTACTGACAAGAATCTGTATAGGGAGCCATGAACAGGCATTTATTTATGTCTTTAGAATTTATGACTTTATATTATGAGCTGACTTGGAGAAAGGCTAATGCTGTATCTCTAGACAAAACTGCCATTAATAGCACTAACATCTACTTATTTATCTGTTGACTGTGCCTTTGAATATCTCATGCTCAGTTTCCTTTCTCCATTGAAGGGAGGTGGGCAGAAAAGCTGTCATAAGCTTCCATAATTCCCCTACCGCTTCTCAAATATTTATGTACTGATGGAGTGTCAGGCAAGACAACAATCCTAACCCTGAGAATGATTAGTGGTGCAGAGTGTGGGGAGGGCAGGTGTGTGGTAAAGTCAGCTATGAACAGTGAGATTCTTCCAGTCCTTTATTTAGTAAGCAAACCAGTTAACTGTTAACATTCTCCCACTAAGCATCAAACGACTTCCTCAACTCTGGGCACCAGTGTCTGCAGGGAATCATGTAAGAACCAGTAGGTGGCAAAAACAAGAGAAATGAATTTGTGTAATTTTCATGGTTATTTGTTTTGAGTTATGAATTGGTCATCTTCTTTTCGTTTTCATGCTTAATTATATGTGTGTGTGTGTGTGTGTGTGTGTGTGTGTGTGTGTGACTATGTGCACTTGTAAGTGCTGAGACGCACCGAGACCTTAGGCCCAGATTCCCCTGCAGCTGCAGTTAGAGGTGGCTGTGAGCTGCCCACGGGCGGGCGCTGGAAACTGAACTTGATCTGCACGTGCTTTTCGCCACTGAGCCACCTCTCCAGCCGCCAGTGGGTCTTTTTTTCATGCTTACCAGCCTTCAGTTAGCTTGACTGAGATTTCTATGTTACCTTAGAGTATGCCCTTCAATTTGGCTGGTAACTGCTTAGCAATCACCAAACACTAGACAATTACCCAGGATCTGCAATCGCACATGGGAAATGATCTACCATTTCAGATTTACACCTTAACTCTACCTTTGAAGACAAATTTCTTCGCTGCTCGTCTTATGCCGCTTCTCTCACTTGACAGTGTAGTTGGGTGGTACTCGCCTGTCCGTTTATAATACGCAATCTGTTTCAGGTGAAGGTCGCCATTCTTCCCGCTGCGGACCATCGTGAACTAGGGAAGAGTATTTCGAGACATTGCTTAAACGGCAGACTAATTCCATTGCTATTTCAGTCCAGGCTTCTGTCACATTTCTGCTGATGCATGAATTGAGCACTCCCAGAATATTATCTGCGAGGGAGATAACTGCAGTACAGAACAGGGACAGAGTAAAACTAAAACATCTGAATGCTACTTTTCAGATCCATCCTGACAAATTATCTTGCCTCCTTTTATGTGAGATACCAAATGCTGAAAACTTTTGGAAAAAGAGGAAGAAGAAGGAAATGAGTCAGTGTACTTCAGAAGTTTGACTGGAATCTCTTGTCGGCATCCAAAGAAATGTTATTCACAAAGGTTGATTTTGTAATGTAGTCTTTAAGGAGCGAAACATAATCACACATTACTTTAAATGCATGCACACTCAAGATTATTGCAAAGTAAAAACAAAATTTTACTCAAATCACATTTGATGTCTTTCATAAATGATAGATGATAGTCATTTAGTAACCAGATTCCACATGCTCTGGACTGTATATAAACCTAGATTTCTTTTAACGAAAGTGACGAAAACCAAAACAACGCCCTTTTCCATTACGGACTATCATTAATAAGGGGACCTTTTTAAAGTAAAAGAAAAACCATTTTTTCTCCATATCTTCAGTGGCAAGAATAAGTATTGCAGTTATCCAGTTAGTGATCAACTCATCCATCCAGACTAATTTTTGGTCTTTCTTTCCTAGTTGTCAAGCTCTAGGAGACTGACCCTGTGCTGCCATGTTTGTTGTTTTCCAATAGGCAACGACATAAGGCAACAGCAAGGAGAGTCCGAATGCAGAAGAGGTCAGGGTATCTAGTTCTGAGCTCATTAGGAGAAGCTGAGCTTTCTAGAATCCTGCCCAGAGTTCCCCACCCCCATCCTTTCCTTCACTGCAAGTCAATCTCCTTCTCCCTGGAAACTTGAGTCACAGGGCAGCCATTTTGCTCTGTGCGGCTAATCCTCAGGTTTCTTTCTCTCCACAGCTCTGAAAATAGGAGCCATAGGAGCGTCACTACAGTTCTTTCAAGAATCCTGAGAATGGATTTCCTGCTTCTGCTGGAATTCTGATGCCAATTTCAAAATTCTAAGGATGATATGGATGTTTACTACTCTAACTTAAGTATCTAGGGACTGTGATACTAATCTTGGTTGTCAACTTGACACACCAGGGCAGAGGGAGCCTCAACTGAGAAACTGTCTCCAGCAGACTGGAGGCCACTATGACATAAAGATTCCGTAATGCTAAGACAGTCCCATCAGCACCTGAAAATAGGTTAATTCGGCTATAAAATAGTATCACTAAACAGTGAGTTTTAATTCACCTTTTTGGAGAGAGGGTTTTGATGAAGCTCAGGTTTGCCCTGGAACTTGTCATCCTTCTAGCCCTAAGTCCTAGAAACAGAGGCACACATTGCCGACCCTTGCACGAGCCACTTTCAGCTAGAGATACTAGTCATTTTATAGTAGATGGCCGCACGTCAAAACAAATGACAAATGTAGTGCTCAAGGTTTCTAAGTCAGCTGTAAAAGAATGAACCACAACTGGCATGTAGCTCAGTAGGATAGTCCTTGACTAGGATGTAAAAGGCCCTGGTTTTAAACCTGAGTCCCACACATACACACGGTGTATTCATACATGGACAGATGGATAGACAGACAGATGAGACACACACACACATTCTCTCTCTCTGTGTCTCTGTCTCTTCTCCCACCCCCTCCCCCAGTATCTGGCACATGCCAGACAATAAACTGGAAATACAATAATGGCAATCCCCCTGAAGTTTACATTATAGTGGGGTTAGAGATTATTTTGATAGCTAAGCTCAAACTGAATTATTCATAGTAGTTAGGAAATGGAAAGGATTCAAGTGCCCAGTGACAGACAAATAAAAAAATGACATGTACACACTTAACTATTATTATGCCTTTAAAAAAGATGTAATTATAACACTTGCAAGAATATGGATGAATCTTGAGGACGGTATGCTAAGTGGAATTTAAAAGAAGACAGATATTGTCAAATTCATAGAAACAGATATTAGAATGGTGGTTTCCAGGAAATAAGGCTACGAGTGGCAGATAGATAAATTCAGTTCCACAGCTCCTTTTCTGACTCAGAAATATGCTTGGCAGAGCCAGTAATAGGTGGGGCCAGGACACGGGGGCTTTCCCTCGGAGCGCTGCTATATGGAGGGACAGAGCTCCTTCTCTAAAGTCTGGGGGCAAGGCGCTGGGGGAGCTTAGCTTTAGATCCCGAAAACTCACTCGTCCTACTGTACAAAGCCACAGCTAACAGTGCCAAGGCCGCTGTGTGCTCAGTCTGTGATGATCTTGAGATGCATCAAGGCCAGATTAGCTTCCTGCTGACTTTGTCCCCTTGTGTGACAGCTTTCCACTGACACTGTCCCATTTCTCCCCTAAAACCTGTATATCAAACACTGTGCTTCTTAATAACCTTGCTTGGCGGAAACCAGCATCTTATGCAGGAGCACCTGACCCTGGTTTCCTATCTTCCTTACCTCCTTATGCTCTAGTCCTTCCGCCCTGTCACTGACGAACAAACAGTGGTCCAGGTCAATAGGACCAACTTTACCACAATCCAAAAAACAAGTTGTTTCATTTTATGTTTTAAATAGCTTACCAAGTAGTAGGTTTCCTTACATGTTTCTCATTCATACTAAGTTTCTGTTGATCCTACCTCTCGGCTAGTTCTCCCAAATCTCTCTATTCCTCTTGTTCCAGGTCTCGCCGTTCTTTCCACGTGTGTTCACTGCTCTCGTCACCATCCCTTAAACCCCCTCCCCCCAGCTCATGGACCCCTTTCCACTTTCCTGGCCTCTATACATAATCCTCCCTATATTAACACAGTGTCTTAAAATGAGAAGCTAACAAGGAAAGGTGAAAAGGCTCCAACATGGGAGAACACGTAATATTTGTCGGCCTGAACTAACTGAAGACTATATTTTCAAGTGACATTTCTTTTGTTTTGTTTTGGAAAATTTTGTAGCTTCATGTCTCTTAGGGCTGAACAAAATTCCATGGTATGTACACGTGGTAGTTTGAAGGCAAATGGCTCCCAAAATTATTGACACTATCAGGAGGTGTGGCCTTGCTGGACGAAGCCTGTCACTGTGGAGGCAGGCCTTGAGGCCTCATCTAAGCCTGAGCCACGCCCAGTTTCTCAGACCTGATCAGGTCTTGTTGCCTGCATGACAAGACTTAAGAACCCTCATGTCCCTCTCCAGTGCCATGTCAGCCTGCAGGTTTCCCGGTACCACCACAATGACCCTGGAGTCAACCTCTGAGCTGGGCACGTACTACCACAATTGAATGTTTTCCTTTATGGAGAGCTGCTGTGGTCATGGTGTCTCCTCACAGAAGTAGAAACCTGAGGCAGTATGTTCTACACATTCAGTACCTACACATTCAGGACATCTGCACTGATTCAGTTTCCTTACTATTATGAACAGAACAGCAGTAAGCACAGACACGCAAATAGCTCTTCGAAAAGATACAGGGACCCTTGGTTGCACCCACAACTTATACAGCCAGGTCATATGGAAGTTCTAGTTCTAGTTTTGTGAGAAGCCCTGAGGCTTATTTCCATAGTGGCTGTACTGGTTTACACCGCCACTAAAACTGAAGAAGAGTTCCCTTTTCTCACATCCTGGACCCGCTTTTGTTGTCACTTGATTTCTTGATGGTGGCCACTCTTACTGGCCAGAGATGGAATTTCAAATTTGTTTTAATTTGCAATTACCTGGTGGCAAGATATGTGAGACAGTAAAAAAAAAAGCTTTGTTTATTTGTATTTCTCTGAGAATTTTCTGCTCCATCCATACATAACCCACTGCATGATTTATTTATTTTTGAATTTTGATTTCTTTGTGTTACTAGGTAGTAATCCTTTAGGAGGGGTGTATACCTTGGAATTATTTCCCTCACTCAACAGTTCCCTTTGCTGGACAGAAGCTTTTCCATTTTGTGAGGTGCTGTGTTCATTACTTTTGTCACTGTCGCTACAAAACACCTGGCAAGGGCACCTGACTTACTGTGGTTCACAGGTGGGAAGCAGTGACCATGACAGAGAAGTCAGTCAGCACAGGGAGTGAGGCCTGGGCACACTGCACTCTCCTAGCTGAGTACTAGGAGCTTTAGGGCTCAGGATGCCATTGCACTAGGTCTTTCCGCCTCCATTAATGTCACCCAGTTATTTCCCCAGAGGCATTCTGAGACATTTGTCCACCAGGCAACTCTAGGTAGCCTGTCAAGTGGACAATGTCAACTATCCCAGTGTCATTTCCAATTACTTGCTTTATTTCCCCTGTAACTGAAGTCCTACTCAGTTACTATGGGTATCTTGATGTGTTTTCCCTACTTTTCCAGATAGCAGTTTCAGAGTTTTAGGTCTGATGTTAAAGTCTTCAGGACACTTGGAGTTGACTTTATGTGAGATAAGAGATAAGGATCTAGGTTTCATTCTTCTGTGGGGGAGATTTCCAGTTTTTCAGGCCCCATTTGCTAAGGAGGCTGTCATTACTACAACAAGAAATTTTGGCATCTCTGCCAAAAATCCCTTGGCTATATCCACATATGTTCAGATCTGGAACTTTAATTTTGTGCCAGTACCATGCCAGCTTTGTTACTACGGTGACGGAACCAGAAGTCAGATAGGGTGACCCCTTCAGCCCTTCTTCATTTTTGCTACTTTGAGGGCTTTTGTATTTCAAATGAGCTTTGGCTTTTTAAAGTACTTCTGTGAAGAACAGCACTGGGTTGCATTGCTGTTGGTAAAACAGTCATTTCATAACACAGATTCTTGTAACTCAATGGCGTAGCATAGCATGGGATTCTTCTAGGGTTTTGTTTTGCTTTTTAGACAGAGTCTCACTGTGTTACCATGCATGGTCTAGAACTCTCTATGTAGACCAGGCTAGCCTTGAACTCACAGAAATCTACCTGCCTCTGCCTCTCAAGTACTGGGATTAAAGGTACAACCACACCAGGCCTTATTTTAAGGTTTGTATTACAGAGCCCTCTCACCAAGTTGTTAAAGTTTATACCAAAGCTGTATTGCTGGGATTTAGACGACTGTGAATGGAAACCTTTCCCCTCTCTTCCTCAGCACGTCTCTTTATCATACAGGAAGGCTACAGATCTTTGTACGTTAACTTTTTATCCTGTCACTTGCTCAAAGTGTTTTAACCAACCTACGAGTTTTCTGATGGAAGTCGTGAGGGTCTTTTATGTATAGAATATATAGAATCGTTATATTTGTAAATAAGGATACCTTGACCTCTTCCTTTCCTATTTGTATCCCTTTTATTTGCTGTGCTTTGCTTATTTTACAGCTCAAGAAAATAAGGAGGTAAATAAATAAAAAGAGATTTGGCTTTCATGAAGGGTATAATCCAAAAAGGTAGTTCTAACAAAAGGGCTACTGCAGGCCATTGGAAACAGAGGAACGAAAACTTACATGACTGAAGGCATAATATTCTTTAGAAGGTAGGGACAACATTTAACATAAAGAAGACAAGAGTGAAAATTAGAGAATTTCTTAACAGTCCAATTCCCTCAAATTGATCTACAGATTCAATGCAATCCCAATTTGAGGAGAATTGGCAAGTTGATGCAGTTATCTAGTTTTTTTCCCCCTCTGGAAGGGAGTGACTTAGTGTTTTATATTTTAGAAGATGATTTTTTATAGACGTTTCAGAAAGAAGTCCTTTACTTCCATTTTCCTTACTTTGTTCTTTTTTATTTTTAGTTTTTGAAGGGTATCTGTAGCCAGAGCTGTCCTAGAACTCTCTAGATAGATGGTGCTGGCTGCAGACTCACGGTGACCACCCTGCCTCAGCCTCCCGGCTGTTTATAATTTATAATGATTTACATTACTATTTAATGCAGTTCATCAACTGCTGCTTCTGAAGATACAGATGAAAAGGAAAAACAGTAACTGCATAAAATGGAAAAAAATCACACATATGAAGAATACTTTAGGACTTTTAAAAATAACGTTTTCAAGAATTTAGGAGTTAGAAAAGGCATTGGAGATGGCTCATGACAACTTTCACTGTTGCAAGATGATCAGGCTATTTGATTAAGTTTGTTTCTACACAACGCTTCCTGTACAACGTTAAATAAAACAAATGCTTTTACTGAGACTTATTGCTTAACTTCAATCATTTTATCCTGTGTACCTGTGTACTCTTTGAGTAAGGATTTGTTTCCCCATACCACACCTACGAACCACGAAGATATCGTTAAAACCAATGGGAGGTTACAGTTAAGTCTGTATTAAAAACATACAACGTGTAATGTCTTAATAAACACAGTAATTCGAGATTAGAATTCTGACTCCTGAATTATTCTAGTTTGACCTCTGAAAACGGAACCAGCACAGTTTATGTATTAACTGGGCCAAGGCAGGGAAGAGACTGGGGAGGCGATGCTCCCGCACATTCTGCAATCTGTCTCACTTAACGGGCATACAATTTGTTTAACAAGAAAACGCCTTCAACTTCCATCTGCCGCACAGGATAAATTCGTGAGCCTCCTGAAAACTCTCCTGCGGGGTTCGAAACGTCCATGCAGGAGTTTTCAGCGAGATGCTAAAAGGTGCATACATATTTTTCTCCCCCCACCCCATTCAAAGCTACGTGTGCAGACTGGCCCCTGAGCTCACTCCTTTCTTTCCCTAGGTGGAGGCTTGCACACTGAACGAGGACGATGCAGAGCGAGCCGGCCCCGGCGTGCAGACGCGAGTGCAGGCGTGCACCGGGCGCCGCCAGCGAGGGAGCGCTCCGCAAGCATCGGACTGCTCGTTCGCTGGCTGCCGAGGGCAAGGTTCAGCTAACCCCTTGCAGAAGCAAAGAAAGGACCGCTGACGCCTCAGTCCCACCGGGTCGCCAACTCCCGGAGCTTCCGACCGGGCTGCCAAAAGCTCAGGGCCCTCCCGCCCCAACGGCGCCTGCGCGAAACCTCCACCTAGCCAAACCCTTCCTTTAGGGCGGTCGGAGGGGTCCGTTTGAAAGTTACTGTCAGGCTACGCCTCACTTGAAAAAAAAAAAGAAAAAAGAAAAAGGAAAAAAAAAAGTCCGACACGACACACTAGAACGACCACTCACCCCAGTGGTCCTAAATGCAAACGGCAAGGCTTTAACTCTCCTCTCGCGACTTATCTGGTGCTGCCGGAAGCGGAACTACCGGGGGTGGGGCTTAGATCGGGAAGGGGCGGGGCGCGTGTGTCTGTGTGGGTGTGTGCGTGTGTGTATGTGTGTGTGTGTGTGTGTGTGCTGTGGAACCGGAAAGCTCAGGCCGATCGTTGGTCCGGCGGAAGCTGTCCCGGCCGGTGCAGTTTCCGTGTGAGCCCGGCGGAGGAAGGCGGGGGAAGAGGCGTGTCGGGGCCGCCTGCCGTGGAGCGGTGCCAGCCGCGCCTCTGGGGCCGGAGAGGGAAGGTCCGGTCCACGCCTCCGAGAGCCGCCTCGGCCCCGACGCCTACCTCACCCTCACCCTCCGCCCCGCAGTCAAAGGAGGGAGGGAAGGGAACCGAGACCTGGACGGGCTGGAGCGTCCGCGGCAGGTGAGGAGGACCGGGAGCCGGGCGGAGGAGCCGAGCGGGACCCGGCGGCCCGGGGCTGGGACTGCTTGGTCTCGGTGCCCCCCGCTCTGCGGACCCTAAGGCGTGCTCTTCTCGCCAGGGGCACGGGCAGGGGGCGGATGGCAGCGCGGTCCTGGAGGGGCAGTGATGGGGACAGCTCGAGGCTCCCTCCCGGGCTCGATGCCTCTTCTTCCCCTTCCCGCGTCGCTTCCCCTTTGAGAAAAACGCCTGGGCATCGCGGCTCAGCTGGGAGGCGGCTGCCCGGGCTCCTGTTCCTCGGAAGCTCCTTCCCCTGGGGTGGGCAGCCTTGTGTGGTGGCTTCGGCCGCGGGGAGAGGTGGCCCTTTCATCCCTCAGTCTCCATCACTCACCACCCCCTGCCCCTGCTTTCCACACCCACTTCCAAGGGAACAAAAGCTTCGCACGGCGCGTTGAGACGAGGTTGCAGGTCAACGCCGCGCCCGCACCTAAGCGATTAGACGGCCTGGCCTCCTCCCCCGTGTAGGTAGTGACCTTTGCTTCTCATCCTCGAGGTTCTGGACGACTTCGTGAGAGTTCCCGTTCTTGGAGTTTCGCGGTAAGAGTTGTCTTGTGTCGGCCGTTTTGAAGACTGAGCTGTGGAAGTAGGAAGCGTGGCTGACTCCGGCATTAGCTACCTTCCTAGCCTACCCTGGGGCAGGATTTTGTTTCGATGTTGCAGTTAAAAAAAAAAAAAACTGAACCATGTGGTTTTAGGTATGATGATAGCTGCTGTTAATGGGTGGCTGCCAAATGCTTTGCACGTAAATTTTCATTCCGTCGTGCAAGAGCCCCATGAAGGCTCTTCGATGACTCTGTCTGTGAGCTGGAAAATGGAAAGTTAGTGAGGTCAGGTAACTTGCCCTAGTAACATTTTCCTGCGGGCAAACCTTTGAAGCTTTGCTAGAAAGTAGATCTGAATCCAACATCTGCATTCTATTGCCCTGCCATTCGTCTTCTTATTCCAGTTTCTTCCCTAACGTTTTCAGGACTTAAAAGTTACATTTGTCCATCTAAGAAAGCACATAGTGTGCTCTTTCATGTCTGACAAATTACAACCATGATCTCTGTGCAACTTCTCTATGGCATGTAGAATTAAATATTTCAGAATCCCAAATAGTCTTTCTTGCAGTATAGACTGTTAAGAAACTAGGTCCTAAAGCTGATGGATAAAAGGGTCATGATTGTACAGTCAAAGCTTGCAATTTAAGTTTTAAATCAATGTGATTTCTGCAGTAAGGGTGTAAATTGAACATTATGAGGGTATTATGAGGGTATTAAGTTGAACAATTTATAGAATATTGAATCTAATGTTAGACATATGAGCAGTTCATGCGGTATTTCTGAAAACTTGAAATGTTTGATAATAAAAAAATCAACAAAACCTTGAACTCTCCTAGAAACAGATCATTGGAAAGAGGTCTTTATGGAACACAAAGGCTGGGAAAGGTTAAGCTATGTGTTTGGGGTTGGTTTGGGGTTGGTTTGGGATTGGCAGATGCATGAGAATAGTCTGGACAATTCTTTGAAGTCTTCCAGTTGTTTATTCACAGGACAATAGGAAGGTCCTCTGAAATAGCTGTGAGTTCCAGTCAAAAGCTGACTCAGCAAAAAGATGTATATGTTTTTGAAGAGGGAGGGTAATTGATGCCAAAGTAGTATGGAACTTGGAATAGGTTTGGTTTATATAATAGTGATGATGATGATGATGATAAAGTTTTATCTAGCTCACCTTTCCTAGCCTATGGAAGACAACATTTAACACTTTTTGTATAGTATCATCCTAGTGTGCTGGAATTTAACTACAACGTACAATAATATTTCTACTGGAAAATGTTTTGGGTATCTCAGAAAATCGGTTATGTGTTTGTGTTCTGGTTGAACAGCCATTATTGGAGCTTCAGTTTCCTTTAATTCCCCCCCCCAGTGGAAATTTACTGCTTCGTGGCTGGACTTTAGTGGAACCTATTGGGATGGTAGCTTGAAAGAATTTGTAAAGGAGCTCTCAATGCTGTGCAGGACTGGTGGCTTGCCCAGGGTGCTATTTTAAAGGCGTGCCTCTAGCCAGTATGAGAGAAAGGACTGTTTGTCCAGGGCAGTAGGTAGTCTGGAGCGGCACTGGAGTGCTGTCACAAGGCCACCACAAGCCGCAGCAGGAGACGGCCTGAGCTGGCATCCTTTGCCAGAAGGTGCATTCCAAACCTAGATACATACACACATACATACACACATACATACATACATACATACACACATACATACACACATACATACATACACACATACATACACACATACATACATACATACACACATACATACATACATACATACATACACACATACATACATACATACACACATACATACACACATACATACACACATACATACATACATACACACATACATACACACATACATACATACATACATACACACACATACATACATACACACATACATACATACATACACACATACATACACACATACATACACACATACATACATACATACATACACACATACATACACACATACATACACACATACATACACACATACATACATACATACATACACACACATACATACATACACACATACATACACACATATATACACACATACATACGTACATACACACATACATACACACACATACATACATACACACATACATACGCACATACACACATACATACACACATACACACATACATACACACATACACACATACATACACACATACATATGTACATACATACACACATACATACATACACACATACATACACACATACATACGTACATACATACACACACATACATACATACACACATACATACACACATACATACATACATACACACATACATACACACATACATACATACATACACACATACATACGTACATACACACATACATACATACACACACACATACATACATACATACACACATACATACGCACATACACACATACATACACACATACACACATACATACACACATACATACACACATACACACATACACACACACATACACACACACATACACACACACACATACATACATACACACATACATACATGTGTCAGTTAAAGTCAGAAACTTCTTATTTGTACCCATAGCTAGCCAGTTATACAAACAGCTAATGTTTACTGAACCCATAGCATAGGCTAGTTGTGGTGGCAAATGCGCTCACATTTAATCCTCAGAGCGTGTATGAGATTTATAACCCCGTCTCATCTGATGGCTAGTGTGGGAAAACCATTAGAACAGCTGAGCCAGTTTCGGGGGACAAAGTTGAAGTTCGTTTTGCTCAAGTAGAGCCGTTCTCAAAGTGAGACTCCAAGCAGTGTCAGCATCACCTGGGACTTTTAGCATGGTGGAGTCCTTGGCTCAACCCTAAACTTTCCTGATTAATGTTTAAGTCCACCAAGTGGTTCTGATAGATGTTAGAGTTTCTTAGTTGCTGCTCGGCGTGTGTGGGAACTAGAAAAGGGAACACATTTTAAATTTCTATGCCAGTGCCAAGTCATTTTTACTTTTTGCACTCATCTCAATCCCAACTACTTGTCTGTTCACTAAAATGCAAATTCTCTACTTAAGAATTCCTGCTCAAAACTTTTTGTGATAGGCCAATAGCATGTTTATTATAATGATGTAACCAGTCCATTTGGGGACCATTGCTACAAAAGGAACCTTAAAACTAAAGGAAGATTCAATTGTGATATTTGAGTAATTCACAGATCTTTTGGACTAGGAAGCTACCATCTCTTTGGAATTCATGAATGAACATTGATCCAATTGTTGAGTATTGTGCGATGCTGTGACCACAGTCAATTCAAGTTGCAGATGTCAAGTGAAATAACCATTGAGAATGGAGAATGCCCCAGATATCTTCAGGTTCTCATTAAATGTCATTCTGTGAGAGACTGTATACACTTGCAGATGTCAAGTGAAATAACCATTGAGAATGGAGAATGCCCCAGATATCTTCAGGTTCTCATTAAATGTCATTCTGTGAGAGACTGTATACCACTTGAGAGGGAAAAAAAACGTATTCCATATTTTCTGAGTACTCATTAAACACTTACAATAATGTGGTAAAGAAGTATGAAATCTCTCTCTTTTTTTTGGCTTATATTAGTGACCTTAGGTTTTTTAAAAAAATTGATTATGTGATCATTGATTGATTGATTTAATATAGTTTAAATTATTGGAATGCTTGGGCCTTATGTTCAGTACTATTGAAATTCTAGACATTTACCTGTGTACCTCAGATATTTATAAAATGAGGTTCTCCTCATCCATAATCAAAGATGATTGTGAGAGTGTTCGTTCACAAAGCAGTAATTGCTTCGTAACGTGTTTTTTTTCACATCAAGACATGCATTGAAAGTGGTATTGTCCTTGCTGTATCACAGGGAAAACTGAATTTAGTGCTGCTCAAGTCAGCTCAGTAAGGCTAACAGATGTCTGAATGTCTCAGACAATTTTTGAACATGCCTGAATTTGCTTTCATAGCTGAGCAATATGTTAGGAAGCCATGCATTTAAAAATTAAGTCTTGCCAGGTGGTGGTGGCGCA